TTCCTCACTGTTGTGTCTCCTGCAGGGCCGGCTCTCCCAGCGCCCGGCCCCACGCTGGCCATGGTGGCCATGGGCTCCATCCTGGCTGCCGTGGGCATTCTGGGCTGCTACTGCTCCGCGAGGCGCCGCTGGCACCGGGCCGCTGCCCCCAGTGAGCCCCCCGGGGTGCCCATGGTGCCCAGGGCAGCTGGGAACAGCAGCCTGGGCCTTCCGGATGCTCCTGGGAATGCCAGTGCGGTGTGAGCCCCCCTTCAGCAATAAAGCTGTGGATCCAAGGACGTGTGTGCCTGGGTGCAGGAAGGGCTGCGAGGGAGCAGGGTGGCTGGAGGGCGCTGTGGGCTTGGCGTGTGGCTGAATGCTGCCCGCCTGGGTCCTGGGGCTTCCCATAGGAATGTTTTCCCCCTGTGCTTGCCCTGGGAGCTGGACCCACAGTGTGATTCCGACGCGGTGCCTCACCCGCATTCTGGCGCAGGGCTGCGTGAGGCTGCCCCACAGCCCGGGCTTCGGGCACTGCTGTTTTATTATTCACTTCTTGCATCTGCTCCTTCCGAGGCCGGAGTGCTCGGCTTGGTTAAGCCCAAAGCAGGATAATGTGCAGAGCGCCGCGAGGCCAAGAGCGGAGGGCGGTTGAGTCACCCCAGCAGGAGCAGCTGGAGAGCGGCTGCTGGGAGCCCCTTCCTCCCTAGGAGCTCGGTCAAGCGGAGAGGGAGATGCTGCCCATAAACCCCCTGGCACAGCGGGACATGTGTGGCATGGGGTGGGCAGCGGGGATGCTTTCCTTCCTCTTGTGTTTTTGTATCTTTCTGCTGGAGAGGGGGCCCTGGACTGTCCTGGCCGGCCTTGGCAAATGCTGCACTTGCACAAAACACAATTAAATAATTCAGGGCCCATCTTCAGCCCAGCTTTTTTTCCTGCTTAACCGCAAGGAGGAGGAAATGGCAAAGACCAGCGTGGGGCTGGGTTCTGCTGCTTTCCCATGGCCCAGGTGGAAGCTGCATTTTCACCCAGGGCCCAGCAGACCTCTTGGTCTCCCCTGGGTGTGATTCACCCCAGCTGTGGCAATAGCAGGACATGCGAGCCACGGCCTTGGGATGAGCAGCACCCCACTGGCTGGTTTTCTTCCCCCCTGGGTTGTGGCACAAAGGCATTTCCCTCTGTGGGATGAGGGGGCTCCTGCATGAGGACAAGCATCGCTTCTCCCCCGTGTTGGCTGCGGTCCTGCTGCCACACCGGAGGGAGCAGCTCCGGAGCGGGCTGGGTACCCGCTTGTTTACACTTGCTTCGTTCTCGGAAGCAAAACGTTCATTTCTGCTTTTCGCAGAAAACACGTGACCCACGTGGGCTGCGGGGCTCTCCCTGCGCCCAGCCTCTTGGCATGGGTGTCTCGCTGGGCGCCGCCTGCTTGGCTCCCCGCTTTCGCGGCAATGCCGCTCGCCTACCCCGAGTCCCCACAGAGCTGCCTGCGGGTGGCCCAGGCTGGGTGCAGGACATGGACCAGCTGCTGGGTGTTCGAGGTAAGTAGTGCCCACGGGTGGCCCTAGGGGCCCGTTGCTCTGAAGGGGCTGCTGAGGCACCTCTGAGCTCACACGGGAGGCTCTGGCCTGCAGCTCGCGGCTGTCCTGGTCGCGTTCGTCCCCATGGCGCATGCCTGTCCTCACAGGTGCTGCAGGCCTTCATCGCGCTCATGCTCCTCGGGCTTGGTAGCGCCTTGTTCTTCGCTTCCGGCAAAGAGAATTTATGCATTGCCTACTGCTACCCGCTCTGGGGGGCTGTGCTGGTAAGCAGGGAAACTGGGGAGGCTTTGCTGGCAGGACTGCAGAGGCAGGGCTGTGGCACTTGTCCTTCTCTTCCTTCCAGTACGTTGTTGCTGGCCGTTGCATTTCTTCCGCTGCTAAAAATTCCTTGAAGCATCTGGTGAGTGGAGAGGACTGCTGGTCTCTGGCTTCCCTGGGGCGGCAGCAGCTCCCCTCCCCAAAGGGCTTCTCCGGGGAAATGGTTGGAGCTGCAGGACTGGGCTCGGTCTCGCCAAGGCGCCGATGGCAGCGCAGCCGACGTGGCCTGTGCCCCCTCAGGCGTCCTGCAGTGCTGTCTGCAGCTGCCTCGGCTCACTGGTGGGAGCCGTGCTGCTCACCCTGGACGTGATCCGGATTTCCTCCCCCGGCCTTCGCTGGGACAGCGTCGCGGTACTCCTGCACTGCGAGCGGAGTGGCGTCCCAAGCGAGCACTGCCGCGCACTCCTCGCCTACGAACTGGTGAGCAGGCAGCGCTGCAAACCGGTGGCCCAGTCCCGTGTCACCTCCATCGAGAGCAGGGCTGGCGGCGCTTGGGCTCCTTAGGTTGTCTGACGCTGTGAACCAGGACAGGCTGGGGTGACCTGTGGGAGAGAGGCTCTGAGGAGAAGGGTCTGGGAGGCCGGGTTGACACCAAGTGCCAGCAATGTGCCCTTGTGACCAAGAAGGCACGTGGTATCCTGGGATGCACTGGGAAGGTTATGTGCTAGGATGAGAGGCAATGGGCACAAGGTAAAACATGGGAAGCTCCATCTGAACAGGAGGAAAAAACTTTCCCTTGAGGGTGGCAGAGCACTAGAACAGGCTGTCCAGAGAGGTTGTGAAGTCTTCCGCTGGAGACATCTGAAACTCACCTGGACGTGATCCTATGCCATGTGTTCTGCATGACCCTGGTTGTGCAGGGGGTTGTGCAGATGGTCTTTAAAGGTTCCTGCCAACTGTTCTGCAACTGTCTCTTCCCCTCTTCTTCACCCAGCGCCTGTTGGTGCTCATGATGATCCTCACTGTTCTGGAGACAACACTCTCCTCCCTCGCGCTCAGCCACAGCGTGGTGAGTCTGCCTGCTCTGCCCGCACCGGGCAGAGGTGCTGGTGGGCGAGAGGAGCGCCCAGAGCACCAGCCTTCGTGTGGGCTACAGCAAGTGGGGAGCGGCAGTGGCTGATGTTCTCCCGGCTCTCTCTGCAGAGAGGCAAGAGCAGGGCCCATCCACCGATGGAGCAGGTATTCCAGTTGCTGGAGCTTCAACTGCGACAGCCTGTGGCAGGGCCCAGTGGCTTGCAGGTGCCCTCTGGGCTGCCACCACCATACTCCGTGGGGTGACAAGGAGAATTTTCCCTTGGAGTTTGATTTCCCCCATCATTTTTGGAGGTGCCCTGGAATGCAGGTGAGCCTTTCTACTCTCCTCAGTCCCGCAGGACATGATAAGGATGAATGCAGCCCTTCCGGCTCCCAAGGACAAAAAAAACGCATGGGCATCAACAACCTGTCAACGTTCCTACAGAGGGCTTGTGAACCCAAGTCAAGGCGGGAAGAAGGGAGCTGGAAGCTCATGGTTTTCTCAAATGCGTCCTAAGTTCTAGAAGTCACTGGGAAGGGAAGTGGTGAATGGGAAGGGAGGTATTGCATTCAGGAGCCACAGGATGGAGCAGTCTTCTTGCCTACCTGACACCATCTGTGCTACTTGCTCAGTTTTCCTCTTGGTCTGTAAATTTTTTTCAAGACTGATCCCATTTCTGTGTGAACTATGCTGAGTATCTGAGGCATTTAATACATATATTCTTTTTCTCCACTGGAAAAACGTGGTGTTCGCCTGTGCCGATGTGTCTTTGCGTGCCTGCACGGGAATGCCCTCCATGAGCAGCTCCCTGGGCTGCCTTCTTGAAGGCAGGAGCCACATCGGTGACACTGGGCTGGGGCTCGCCACCCACAGGTTGGTGCTGGCAGGAGCTCAGCCTGTGAGAAGCGGCCACTGGATTCATTCTGCCTCGTTGCCAGGGCCCACTGTTGCAGAGGGATCGCAGCCCTTCAAGCTGCAGAACCCTGATAAGATAAGAAGAAGCTGAAGCCCCTGGAAGGGGCAGGACCTGATCAGGCTCCTGCCCTGGGAGCAAAGGTCTTCTCCAGGCCCAGCTTGCCACAGCTTTGCCCCTTTGTGGCTTGTCCATGCCAGGGCAAGGAGCAGCTACTCCCTGTGCCCCATGTCCTGCCTGCGAGGCTGGGAAGGAGCCGAGCTGCTGGGCGCACTCGCCGCAGCCCCAGCATGTGCGGCAAGCTCCTCGGGGAGGACGCATTTCTGCGCCTAATGGCTTTGATGGATCTTTCTTCCAGGAACTCGCTGTGGTGCTTTGTGCACTCCCTCTCTCCTTTTCTTTTTTCTTTTTTTTATTTTTTCTTTCTTTTGCCCCTGTAAATACTCCATCTTGCTGGCCTGAATTCAAGCAGAAGCGGGGTGACTTTCGGGTGGATTTAGCCCATGCAGGGTAGGTAGCTAGAACTGGGGGACTTTCCATGCTCTACTGCTTCCCTCGATCCTCCCCAGTCATCATCCATCTCCGGAGCCGCCCCCGGTGTCCCTGGGTTAAGGCCTGAGTCGCTTTTCCCTGTTCTGCTGGTTGCTAAAGGCTTTCTGAGACGGCGGGCAGCTGTGAGCAGGGGGTAGGTGGGTTCCCCTCCCTGCCTTCATGCCCCTCCTTTTGGGGGCTGGATGGGAAGAGGGGGATGCTCCAGGGCCCACCGCTCTGCATCCGCAGCTCCTGCGGGGGAAGGAGTTTCCCTGCGGGGCCCGGGGCAGCCGCGCGGGGGGGTGCCGGGCCCTCA